AAAAAAACCCACTGTCATGGACTTCATTCCCACTCATAGCAACCCTTTTAGGACAAAGTAGAACTGCCTCATAGGGTTTCCAAAGCTGTTAATCTTTACGAAAGCAGATTGCCCCATCTTTCTCCCACAGAGCAGCTGGTGGATTCGAACAGCTAATGTTTTGGTTAACAGCTAAATGCTTTAACCACTATACTACCATGGCTCCTCAATAAATGTTGACCAGTATTATTTTTTAGGGTGGCTGTGGAGCTGGCCAAACGCTTTCATTCATCTTCACTCGCCCACCAAGGGGCTCCGGTGTACCCTGTGGCTACAGACAGGCTGTTGCCAGTATCTCCTTCAGTACTTCCCTGGTCCTGCGTCCAAGGCCAGATTCTACTACCAGCTCTCCTCATTTGCTGTGTGGCCCTGGGCAAAAGACTTAACCCCTCTGAGTCTCCATTTCCTCATCTGTCTAGTACTTCCCCTTCTTATGGTTCCTACAGATGTTGTTTTTGGGTGTTGTTCAGTTCATTTCAACTCATAGCAACCCTGTAGGACAGAGCAGAACTGTCCCATAGGATTTGAAAGGCTATAATCTTTATGAGAGCAGATCTCCAGATCTTTCTCCTGCAGGGCATCTGGGTGGGTTCAAACCTCCAACAGTTCGGTTAGTTAAACCACTGCGCCACCAAGGCTTCTTTAGAGGACTGAATGGGCGAATGATATAAATTCTGGCCACACTGTCACAGCGCCTGACACATTATATTCACTATTAGCCCGAGGGGGAGGTCGGGGAGGAACACTGGCCACTTACTGACTACCTACTGTTTGTCAGAGTCTCCCTACAAGTGCAACCCCTGGATCATCCCGACTCCGTTTCACAGAAAGGGAAGCCGAGGCTCTGCGAGTTGCCTACTATGTGTCGAGCTCCGGGGACCTCCCACTGCCCTCGTGACAGGAATGGCCGTCCTAGCGTCCTGAGGGAGGCCAAGGCCGAGGGTCCGAACTCACTCGTCGCGCACCGGGGCCTCGATCCCGGACCGGCTAGCAAACCTGCTTCCCCCTGGCCCTCCTACCGTTCCGGCCTACCTGCTCTGCGGCCGGGCCGGGCGGCCGCGCAGGCCCCTCCGCTTGCCCGGGCCCCTATCCCGGCCCGGCCCGGCCCGTCAGCGCCGCTCGCTCAGCTCTGCCCCGCACCTGCGTCCGGGCACCGCCCGCCGAGCCGACGGCTCCGTCAGCCAATGGCAACCGCCATTCGGCAGTTCTCACCAATCGCCGCGCACTTCCCGCCCCAAGAGGCGGGGCCGGGGGCGACGGGGACGTCCTGGGCCGCACCGGCGCAGCTGCTGGCTCCGCCCCTTAGCTACGGCTCCGCCCCCTAACCCCGGCTCCGCCCCCAGCCCTGGGCCCGCCTTATTCCTGCCTCGGACCGGAGTGGGGCTGGTGGCGCCACCTGCCGACTCCTAGTGCTTTAAACTGGTAATAACACCATTACAAAACGCCTCCTGACTCCTGGCAAAGTAACTTTTAAATTTTCATCATTTCCCTTACTCTTCTCGTCAGTCCGGGGGGGGAAGGGAGAGACGTATGATTACATGTGAAAGAGGAGAAAATGGAAGCCTAGACAGGTTAGACAATCCGAGAAGCTGGATTATATGAAGAAGAACGTGGCATCAGGATAGGAGGAAGACTCATTTAACCACCTGCAATGGGCAGATGACACAACTTGCTTGCTGACAGTGAGGATGATTTGGAGCATTTACTGATGAAGATTAAAGACTACAGTCTGCAGTATGAATTACACCTCATATTAAGAAAATAAAAATCCTTACAACAGGTCCAATAAACAGCTTCACGATGGAGAAAATATTGAAGTTGTCAAGGACTTCATATTACTTGGTTCTACAATAACACCAATGGAAGCAGCAATCAAGACCTCAGACCTCCCATTGCATTGGGGAAATCTGCTGAAAAAAGACCTCTTTCAAGCGCTGAAGAGAAAAGATTTCTCCTTGAAGACCAAGGTGCGCCTAACCCAAGCCATGCTATTTTCTTCTTTTTTTAAAAATTTTTATTTTAATTTGGGTGAAAGTTTACAGAGCAAATTCACTTTCCATACAGCAGCTCACATGCACTTTGTCTCATGACATTGACTAAAATTTCCCACAATGCAACAGCTCCCCTCCCACTTCCTCCCCATGGTTACCTCTTCCCTGTGTCCTTCCCTCCATGCACTCCTGAGTTGTCTCCCTGTGCATACACAGACAGCCCTTCTATTTTCCCATGATTGATCTCTCCAAGGAAGCCATGGTATTTTCAGTCGCCTCTTAGGCATGTGAGAGCTGGACAATGAATAAGGAAGACTGAAGAAGAGTTGATGCTTTTGAGTAGTGGTATTGGAGAAGAATGCTAAGAGTAGTACCATGGTGTGCTAAAAGGACTAACAAATCTGTCCTGGAAGAAGTGCAGCTGAAATGCTCCTTGGAAGTGAGAATGGCCAGACTTTGTCTCACCTACTTTGGTCATGTTGTCAGAAGGAACCATTCCCTGGAGAATATCATGCCTGGTAAAGTGGAGGGTCAACGAAAAAGGGGAAGGCCCTCACCAAGATGGATTGATACAGTGGCTGCAACAATGGGCTCAGGTACAGCAAGGATCGTGAAGCTGGCACAGGACCAGGTAGTGTTTTGTTCTGCTGTGAATAGTGGCATAGGGTCACTATGAGTCGGAGATGACTCAACACCACCTAACAACAATAACAACCGACAGATTAGAAGCTCTGGTGGCTCAGTGCCTAAACATTTGACTGCTAACCAGAAAGTTGGCAGTTTGAACCTACCACCCACTCTGCGGAGGGAAGATTGGGCAATCTACTTCTGTAAAGATTTACTGCCTCGGAAACCCACTGAGGGTCACTATGAGTCGGAATCAACTGGATGGCAGTAAGAGTTTTGAGACAGGTTAGAAGCCATGCAGGGAGCCTAGAGCCCAATTATTCACTCTGTATTCATTCATTCATCCAGTAGGTGTTTGTTGAAGGCCTATTATGAGCCATGAGATGGGGACACAACGTGGAGTTTGACAGTCATAGACTGCTGCTCTCATGATGGACCTCAATCTAGGGAGTGTCCCAGACATTAATCAACCAATTACAAAATTAATGATTAATTACAAATGTGATAAACTGTGGCAAGTAAGGGAGCATAGCATCTTCCGAGCACATGGAAACTTTGGGGATGTCTGGAAGCATTTCCTTGAAGAAGCAATTGAGCTGACATTTGAAGCACGAGTACACGTTAACTAGTAGAGGAGTCTTAGGCAGAGTTCAGCACATGCCAAGACCCACAGGAGGATAGGGAGTCCAGTACTCCCTTCCCTTACTGCCTGTACCTTGATCCGATACATAGATCAGCTCTATTGTCTCAGTTAGGTCCCTGGGTAACACAAATGGTTGGCTCTTGACTACTAACCAAATAGGACGTCTGGTGGTGTGGTGGTTAAAACATTTGACTACTAACCAAAATGTTGGTGGTTCAAACCCACCAACCAGTCCATGGGGGAGGAAAAAAAAAACATTGACAGCCATTATGGAGCAGTTCTATTCTGTCCTATAGGATTGGCATGAGTCAGACTAGACTCAATGGCAATGGATTTAGTTTCTAATCAAAGGTTGGTGATTCAAACCCACCCAGCACTGCTGTGGAAGAAAGACTTGGTGACCTGCTTCCATGAAGATTACAGCCAAGAGAACCTTATAGAGAAGTTCTAGTCTGTGACAGATGGGATCACCATGTGTTGGGATCGACTCCACAGCAATGGGTTTGGTTTTTACTATCGCAGTTAAATTTGAGTGTGTGATACTGGCTTCCCTATGGTTTTAATGGAAAGAGGAGTGAATAGGATGGAAAAGACAAGGGTAGAAGTTAGACTTTTAAAATGTGTCTTTGTAAATTTGACTTCACAATTATCCAAGTGTTTTATGTAATTATAAAACAAACTAAAAAAAATCCCTAAAAACCAAAATAAAGCAAAACACAGAAACCTGTGTATCCACTTGATGACAAAACAACACATAGATGAACTAGTGACTTTACAACAAAACAACCTGACTGTACATGTTGTTGTCAGGTGCCGTTGAAGTCCATTCCAACTCATAGGGACCCTGTGTACAACATAATGACACGCATCCTCACAATCATTGCTGTGTTTGAGCCCATTGTTGCAGCCACTGTATCAATCAATCTCGTTGAAGGTCTTCCTATTTTTTGCTCACCCTCTGCCAACCAGGATGTCCTTCTTCAGAGGCTAGTCTTTGCTAATAAGATGTCCAAAACACGTAAGAAAACTCTCACCATCCTCACTTCCCAGGAGCATTCTGGCTGTACTTCTTTCAAGGCAGATTTGTTCTTTCTTCTGGCAGTCCATGGTATATTTAATACTCTTCACCAACACCATAATTAAAAGTTATCAATTCTTCAGTCTTCTGTATTCATTGTCCAGTTTTCACAGCATGTAAGGCGACTGAAAATAACATGGATTCAGTCAAGAGCACTTTGGTCCTCAAAGTGACATCTTTGCTTTCTAACAAACACTTTAAAGAGGTCTTTTGCAGCAGATTTGCCCAATGTAATACATTGTTTGATTTCTTGACTGCTGCTTCCATGGGCGCTGATTGTGGATCCAAGTAAAATGAAATCCTTGACAACTCATACATGCTACATGTTATTATTGTTGGTGTTAAGATTGTTCTTCTGAACTTGTGTGGTGGAGTCTATGTGGTGTGGTGTATGTAGGGGGAATAAAGCAAAGGAGTATGTTAATGTTAAGAACTGGGATTTTCAGAGTGAAAAGAGTTAAAATGGTGAATTTGTATGTTGTGTGAAATTTATCTTGATTTCTTAAAGAAGCAAAACAAACACACCATAGGGTTATTCAAACTGAGAAACTACAAACAACTAATTACCTTATTTAAAAAAAAATCAAGGCAAGAAAAGTAAGAGTACAAGGGGAATTTGTAGGTTAAAAAATAACTGAAGTCTTAGTCAATTAGACTGTGTAGACTGTGGTTACACACCAATTCAAACAAATGATTTTAAAAATTCTAATACAATCAGAGAAATGCGAACACTGGCTAGATATCTGATGCTATTAAGGAATTACTACAGGCAGGCCCCAAGTTACAAACATCTGACATACGTACAATCCTTCATTAGAAGCCAACACCTGTAAAGCCAATTATATTAAACACTCAAGGTACATACACAGCAGTTCGTAATAACAAATGTGCATCAAAACATTATTATTATGATTCTATTATTGTGTTAAAGATGTTTAGCGTATCTGGAAGTGTTTTGTTAATGCTCTTTATGCATAGAAAGGCACCAGAAATCAAAACCAAACCCAGTGCCATTGAGTTAATTCTGACTCATCGCAACCCCCATTTCCAAGGCTGTTAAATCTCTACGAAGTATAGTGCCTCGTCTTCCTCCCGCGGAGCAGCATATGGGTTTGAACCACCAACCCTCTGGTTAGCAACCAAATGCCTTACCCAGTGCTCTTTATAGACAAGTACATTTGACTAACAGATATTAGATACAAACCAGACCTAACTGTTCTGATAAAGGTACACTTTAGACTTAAACACAAACTTAGGAACGGAACTCATTCTTAATGCGTGGACCGTCTGTATTCATTTCCCGAGGTGTGATGATAATATTGATATGTTACCCCAAAGCCCTTATATTTTACAGATATGTACTGAAAGCGTTCTAACTGGACGATGTCAGGGATTTGCAAATGGGAGGGGAATAGGGAAACACGGATGAAACAAGGCAGGTCTGTGAAGCTCAACACACAGGCGGTTTATTAGTAAGACTCGTCTAATGCCTCTGGGTGGCCTCAAGCCCTTTCACTTAGCAGCCAAGTGCTCAACCATTTCCACCACGCGGGGGCAACTTTTCTGTGTTTAAAATTTTCCGTAACAGTTTTAACAGTTTTGGTGTAGATCTTTCCGGTCTTATCTGGGCGTTTCCATCTGTCAGAACCTGCTGGCTCATAGTCGTCAGCGGCCGTCGAGTCACCTCTGACTTCTGGCGACCTCACACACGACGCTGCCCAATTGTGCACGTCTTCAGGATCGCCGACGTGTTTGAGTCCGCTGTGTAGCTACGATGTCGATCCACCTCATGGAGGGATTCGTCGTTTTCAATGACCCTCTGCTTTGCCAGACATGACGTCCTTTTCCAGAGGCTGGTCATTCCTGATGACGTGTCCAGACTTAGCTGCATCTCGTCATCTTTACTTCTAAGCAGCATTCCCCTTGCATTTCTTCGTATTTGTCCTTCTGGCAGTTCATGACATAGAAACAAACAAAACGTTGCTTTTGAGTCAATTCTGACAGAGCGCAAGTGCCCCAGAGGGTTTCCTAAACTGTACTCTGTGCAGAGGAGCCCTGGTGGCACAGTGGTTAGAGCGCTCAGCTGCAAACCAAAAGATTAAAGGTTCGAACCCACCAGCCAGTCCACTGGAGAAAGATGAGGCAGTCTTACTTCCATAAAGATTCACAGCCTTGGAAACCCTCTGGGGCAGTTCTACTCTGTCTTACAGGGTCAGAGTTGCAATTGAATCAGTCAGCGGGCTTAGTTTTGTAATCTTTTTTAAAATTGTGATTTGTGTGAAATTTCACAGAGTAAATTGGTTTTCCACTCAACAATTCATATACGTATTTCGTGATAATGACTGCAGTCCCCAGTGTAACAGGCGTCTTCTCACCTCCTCCCTGTGGCTACCATTTCCCTATTTTCCTATCCCTCCCTGCCTTCCGGAACAGCTTTATCCCTGGGCAAATGCTGCCCTTTGGATCTCAAATGGTTGCTCGTTCCAAGTGTTTACTACCTTAGTATTATTGTTCACATTATAGGCCTGTGGTTTGGCTGAAAGAGTTGAGCAACGGGAGCAAATTCCGTTCCAGGCTTGAAGTGTGTCTAAGAGCCATATTCTCAGGGTGGTAATCTTTACAGAAGCAGATTGCAGCATCTCTCTCATGCAAAGCAGCTGGTGGGTTCCAACCACTGACCTTCTGGTTAGCAGCTGAGCACCTAATCACTGTGCCATCAGGGCTCCTTAGTTCACGATATAGACACTAAATAAACACAGAGAGAGGCGTCGTACCTTAATGATCATGCATACAGCTCGGGGTTTGAGACCTGCTTTCGTCTCACTGAGACCTTGGACAAGTCACTTAACCTCCTGTCTCCCATCTATAAAAACGGACTAGTAAATTATGTCCACCTCCTAGGGCTGTTATGTCATTCTGTGGTGACTTGCAAAGAGCCATGACAGTGTAATTTTTCAGTGCTTGGCTGCTAACTGAAAGGTCAGATGTTCAAACCCATTAGCCACTCAAGACAGAGAAAAGACCAGGGAATCTGTTCCTGTAAAGGATACAAGCTAGAAAATCACACGGGGCAGTTCTGCTCTGTCACACTGTGTCGCTCCAAGTCGAAATCCACTCGGCAGCACATACAACATAGTGGCTTGCGTGTTGCTGGAAGCTGTGCCACCTGTATTTCAAATAGCAGGGTCACCCATGGGGGACAGGTTGCAGTGGAGCTTCTAGACTGAGAGACACAAGGAAGAGAGGCCTGGCGCAATTTCTCCAAGACTGTTACCACTGCCACCGAAATGTACATGTAGAAACTGGTAAATCAGTGTATGTTTCTCTGTATGGATTTTCAAAAGCAAAACTTATTTACAAAAGGGAGGAAAATTGGCCTTTTGGTATCATTATTTGAGGTCCTGGATCGTCTTACCTACCACTGGGGTCTGATTTATGTGGATTAAAATTAATCCTTTCATATATAGATAGATATAGATATAGATATATCTATCTATCTATCTATCTATCTATCTATCTATAACAGCCCCCTCAGGCCACGTTCTCCCAGATTTCTCTGTTTCCCTGTCACAGGGGCAGCTCAGAGAGGGACCCTGGGCCCACCCCACTGTCACTCAGCCTGAAGACCCCACTCTACCCCATCCAGCACAAAGACCCCGCATGGCCAGAGTGGGGCTCAACATAGCTATCAGCCACCAGCCACCCAGGATGGGATCTAATCCCGTCGTGTCCTGTGGAGGCAGCCGGGCCTGTGGCCAGAGGTGGGGACACGGGCAGGAGTGAAGGGGCCTTGAGCCAGGAGGGCCACCAGGCAGGGGGAAAGAAGACAAAGGCGCAGGTTACTGTCCAGGAAGTCGGATTATACATTTTAGTCACGGGCACGAGGCATTGGGGGACAGTGCAGGGCCATGGGAGAGTAAGAGGTCGAGAGCTCGGGTTTGGCGTCAATCTTACAAAGTGTATAAAGAATCTATGTTTTTCTACAATAACAAAAACCAAAGGCTACAAGAGCGGTTGTATATACAAAACATGGAGCTATTGCTTCACTTGCAAACAGGTTCCTGACCAGAAGGGAGACAAGACGGGGGAGGGGGCCGAGGCGAGCGTGCTACGTGCAAAAAAAACAGGGGTAGTGGGGAAGGGGGGCTTCTCCCAGCAGAAATCTACAGGCAGGAGCTGGAGGCGCACACAGGAGGCGTTGAGGGCGTGCCAGCCGGTATGTGGGGAGCGCCAAGCGTGTGTACCCAGCCTGGCCCAGCCCTTCCGCTCCCCCCAGCGCCTGGCTCTGCAGGCGTCAGCCTGAAGGGGTCTCTTGGTTGAGGCGAGGGGCTGGCTGGGCCAAGTGTCCAGAGAAGGAGGAAGGCAACCGTTCCTGGGAGTCTGACATGGAAGATGCAAGGAGTGTGCGCGTCCGGGCCATCCTCCTGCCTGTGGCCAGCCCTGTCCGCCCTGCCACCCTCCCCAGCTGACAAGGTGGCCCCTGGGACCCACGAGGTGCAGGAGCAGCAAGTGGGACTTCTAGCTTTCTTCAGACAGCTGGGCCAGGAGGCATCGCTTGACTCTGCTCCTGAGAGCTCGCTGGGAGGGCGGGAGTGAGCTGGTCACAGAAGGACAGAGGGCAAGGGCAGGGAGGACAGTGCGGTGAGGGGCTGGGAGGACGAGGACGAGGACGTGCACGCACGCTCGGGGTGAGGCGTGGGGGTCACAGGTTCTGGCAGCACTGCAGCTTGTTGGGCTTCTGTCCATCGGTGGTGGGTGGCACGCTGATATCCACCACGTTGTTGCCGGGGGACTCGTCGTGGGCCGCACGGTCGGCAATCTGCTTCTGTGACACGATGCGGTAGATCTCTGTGGCGAGGGGTGCATAGGCGCCAGGTGAGGTGAGGGGAGCAGGAAAGGGGAGGTCACAGTGCTCCTACTGTGTGGATGGCCTCCATGCAGGACTCAGTTCTCCACCCTCCAAAGACTCCCATGGCACCCTGTGTGCCCTGGTCACATGAGAGGTGACAAGGACAGGGGATGCTGGGCATCTGTCCTGGTTATCAATGTGTCCGTGCCACCCCAGGCCTCTGTTCGCTTGCATCCTAAGTGCATGCAGACACACCCTCTTCCTCAGAGCAGCTCCCCAAGACTGAACTTCTAGAAGCGTCAGCTGTCAGCCACCTGTCTCCCCAGCTGGCTAGGCCCTGGAGGAGCTGCTGGCAGGTGCCCCCTGTGGTAGCTGGCTGAGGGGTGTCCGTGTCCCCCAAAATGATAGGGGCACGATCTAGCCTGGCATTGTGTCCACGTGACCAGGAGGTGAACGAATAAGGGGTCAGGAGTAGACTTCTGGTGAGTGCAGCCTGTGAAGTTTGTGTCTCCACAGCCACCGGGGTGGGCCCACCTGTGTTTCCCTGTCTCCGCCCAGGCCCTGGGCCCACCTGTGAGGATGTTCTTGAAGGCTTCCTCTACGTTGGTGGAGTCCAAGGCTGAGGTCTCAATGAAGGACAAGTTGTTCTTTTCTGGAACAGAGACAACACTACCTGGGTGAACCAGGATGGGGGTGAGGGCAACTGGGGGCCCTGGATGCCTGGCAAACCTGGCTCAGGAAACAAAGGGCTGGTGCTGAGAGGTCAGGACCGGGTGCCCGCTCTTCAGGGCAGGGAGGCTGGCGCTATGGCCAGGGGAATGAGCCAGGGAGATGCCTGGGCCTGGCCCCAACACCAGCCTTCCACAAGCTTCCCTGATGCCTCAGGACTGTGGGGCCAGAGGGGGTGGGCTCACAAGGACCAGAACACCCTTCCAGCCTCACCCAGGCCCCACCCACTCACCTGCAAAGGCACGGGCCTCATCCGTGGGCACGGCCCGCAGGTGGCGCAGGTCACTCTTGTTGCCCACCAGCATGATGACGATATTGCTGTCCGCATGGTCCCGCAGCTCCTTGAGCCAGCGCTCCACGTTCTCGTATGTCAGGTGCTTGGCGATGTCATACACAAGCAGGGCACCCACCGCACCGCGGTAGTACCTGCAAGGGCAGGGTCCCAGGCATGAGCCTCTGCAGGTCTCTGCCAGGCAGACCCCCAGCAGCTGCCAAACAGGAATTTAGGCAGCCAGGGACTCCTTGGCCCACACACAAGGCCCAGGCGAGGGCAGCCACCATGGAGGCCTGGAGGGACATGTGTGTCCTGAGGTCCTGACTCTGCTCCCCAGATTCAGCTCAGGAATGTGGGACTTGGGGAGGGAGTTTGGGGCCTGGTGTTGAAAGACAGCCCCCTGGGCAGGGGCAGAAAGAGGAGAACACGGTCTCTGGGCAGGGAGAAGCCACTGCTGAGTGGAAGCCCCAAAGCCACTGGGGCCCGGCCACCGCTGGCCACAGGTTCCTCTGCAGGCCCAGGACTCCCCAGGAGGCGAACAGGCACCTCCGCCCTGAGGGATGAAGGAGATGAGAGGTGGCTGGCCAGGCCGAGAGGAGCAGAGGCCACCCAGTGGGAGCACAAGATGGGTGTAAGACATCTGTGAGCTGGAGAACAGAGGGCGACAGTGAGGGCGGTGAGGAGTCTGGGCAGCGGGCAGAACGCAGCAGCCCAGGCAGGCCTGGGGTGACAGTCCCGGTTAGCAGAGAATCCAGCTCAACACACTAGTCACTGGGGAGATGCAAGTAAATACCACAATGAGCTACCACTGCACACTCACAGAGGACAACAGGTGTTGGTGAGGTTGTAGAGAAACTGGGACCCTATCCATGCAGACACAACTTTGTTTGCTGAAAGTGAGGATGACTTGGAGCCCTTACTGATGAAAAAGATTGAAGAATACAGTCTGCAGTATGGATTACATCTCAACATAAAGAAAACGAAAATCCTCACAACTGGACCAATAAGCAGCATCACGATAAATGGAGAAAAGATTGAAGTTGTCAAAGAATTCACATTGCTTGATTCCACAATCGACACCAATGGAAGCAGCAGTCAAGACATGAGACGAGGTATTACACTGGGCAAATCTGCTGCAAAGGACCTGTTTAAAGTGCTGAAGAGCAAGATGTCTCCTTGAAGACTAAGGTGCACCTAACCCAAGCCATGATATTTTCAATTGCCTCATATGCATGTAAGAGCTGGACAACGAACAAAGAAGACCTAAGAAGAGCTGATGCTTTTAAGTTGTGGTATTGGTAAAGAATACCGAAAGTACCATGGATTGCCAAAAGAACTAACAAATCTGTCCTGAAAGAAGTGCAGCTGGAATGTTCACTGGAAGAAAGAATGGCCAGACTTGGTTTCACTTACTTTGGTCATGCTGTTAGAAGGGACCACTCCCCTGGAGAGGGATGTCACGCTTGGTAAAGTGGTGGGTCAATGAAAAAGGGGAAGGCCCGATGGACTGACACAGTGGCTGCAATGATGGCCTCAAGTATAGCAAGGATTCTGAGACTGGCACAGGACTAGGCAGTTTCATTCTGTTGTGCATAGGGTTGCTATGAGTCAGAGCCAACTCGATGACAGCTAATAACAACAACAACAACAACAATCTGTTGCTGGTGGGAATGTCAAATGGTGCAACCCCTTTCAAAAGCAGTTTGACAGTTATTCAAAAATTTCAAACACAAGACTACCATAGGACCCAGCAATTCCACTGCCAGGTATCTGCCCACGAGAACTGAAAGCAGGGACACACACAGACACGTGTCACCACTATTCACAGCAGCCACAAGGCAGGAATGCCGAATGCCCGCTGACAGATGAATAAACAAAATGCAGTATTTAAGTACAATGGACTACTACTCAAGCATAAAGAGAAATGACGTCCTGACACCCACTATAACACAGATGAACCTCAAAAACATTATGCTAAAAAGAAAGATAATGCTGAGTGAAATACATCAACTGCAAAGGACAAATGTTGTAGGATCCCACTTACACGAAATACAGAGACAATAGGCAAGTGTGTAGAAACCAGAGTTTGTTAGTAGCTCCTCAGGGTTGTAGGGAGGGAGAGAGAGGGTGTCATTGTTTAGGTGCACTGAGCTGCTGCTAACAGTGGTGGAAATGTTTGGAAATGATAGTGGTGACTGTTGCACAGTGATGAATGTAATTCATGTCCCTGAACTGTACACACAAAAAATGCCGACAGAAGAATCCTGATCAAAATCCTGAATTTCAGATTCTCTTGGAACCCAGACTTTCCGGAGCCACAAGGCTGGATGAACCTCTAAAATGAGTGCCCTCAGATAACCTTTAAGTTTTACCCAAAAATATACCCTGAAACTCAAACCAAACCAAACTGACTGCTGTGGAGTCAGATCCGACTCACAGTGACCCCTCCTTGGGTTTCCGAGGCAGTATCACTATGGAAATAGATTGCCCGATCTTCCTTCTGAGGAGTGGCTGGTGGGTTTGAACCGCCAGCCTTCTGGGTAGCAGTCAAATGCTGTAGGCACTATGCCACTAGAGTTCCTCATCCCCTGAAGTCTTCTTAAAATCAAACAATAGGTGCCTAAGGCATTTGACTGCTAACCAGAAGGCTGTTGGTTCAAACCCACCAGCCACTCCTCAGAAAGAAGATCGGGCAATCTACTTCTGTAGTGAAACCGCCTCGGAAACTCAAGGAGAGATCACTATGAGTCGGATCCAACTCTACGGCAGTCAGTTTTTTTTTTTTTTTTTTTTGAGTAGAGGGTCTGCCTTGAGCACTGTGCGCTTTTAAGAACCATACGGGATCAAATTGATGACAGCAACTAGAAAGATTATATGGAAACGTAGGGGGTAGCAAGTTCACGTTCACGGGGGTGGAACAACTCAGAAAAGGAGGGTGAGCATGGGGGTACACCTTGAAGAATGCCATCAGAGCACTGAATTGTACACATACAAACGACTGAATTACTATGTTCTGTTGTGTAGGTTCTCCACACATTTTAAAAAAAGAAAGGGTGGGTGTAGTGGTTATGTTTGTGTGTCAACTTGGCTGGGCCTGGTTGAGTGGCTATACAACTGGTGGTAGTTATTCCCCATGATGAGACTGGCAATCAACTCCATGGTGGGATCTACCACAAGGAGCTGAGCAGCAGCCTTTGGGATGTGGTCTGCTTCCTGTATATAAGGAGAAGCCTTGGGAATGGTCTCTAGCCTATGGCACGTTTGGACCCTGCATGTAGCCGTGTCGTTGCTCAGAAGCCTGCTATGCTCTGCTGACCTTAGGACTTACAATGGACTTCAGTCAATAGCCTGCCACGTGGTAAAATCAGGACTGTGCATTTTTACTTGTTAACCTTGGGGCTTCTCAGTGTCAGCAGCCAGCAGCTGCCTGAGCGAAGAAACACATCTAGCTCCAGTGGGCCAGGAGCAGGAGGCAGAGCTGGACCCCAAGGTTGAGGGGCTTTCACTCAGCCCCTAGAGCCTGGCACTTTGGACTTGGACTTAAAGCCTCCAAATTGTAAGAATAAACTCCTGTTTGTTAAGGCCATCCCATTTGTGGAATATTTCCTGTCAGAGCGGCACTAGGGAACCAGAACAGAATTTGGTACTGAGAGTATGGGGTGCTGCTCTGACAGATACCTAAAATGTGGAAACAGGAGTGGAGTGCATCCCTGACACAAGACCCTGGCAGAGAGACCCCAGCATACGGCATGAGAGACGGCAGGAGCACAGCAAGAGACCGGCATCGGCAGGAGAGGAGCTGAGAGAGCAGGCATGAGACAGCGACAGCCTTACCAGCCCACAGAGGAGAAAGCTGGGTGCCATTGGGTAGACGGCTTCCTGACAGAGTGGGTTGCCTTCGGGCATTAATTGGTAGAAGAGACCGGCATGAGATGGAGTAGCAGGTTGGCCAGCCCACGGAGCAAGAAAGCCAAGTGTCCTTTGGGCAGAAAGATTTCTGACAGAGTGGGCTGCCCTTGGGCATTAATTGGCAGAAGCGGAGACCAAGGAAATGGGAAGCAGAGCTGCCTCAGCCTCAAGGGTAGGACCATAGCCTTTGGGGGTGGAACCACCACAACCCCCTAGGTATCAAAGAGCCAGGCCTTCACCAACTTGGTTCTGGAGTGTGGGGCTGCTCGTTCATGTGAGCCAGTGGGATGGAGCCATAGCCGCTGCCCAAGAGTGAGGGGGCGGGGCTGCCATGCCCAAGAGGAGAAGAACGGGCCTCCAGGCCAAGGGGTGAGGTCGCCATTCAGGAATTAGGGGATTGGAGTTACCCAGTGGAGATCTTTACAGATGCCAAGTTGAAAAGGGGTGGAACTGTGGTAGTTATGTTTGTGTGTCAACTTGGCTGTGCCGGGTTGCGTGGCTGGGCAGCTGGTGGTAGTTATTTCCCATGATGAGACGGGCAATCAACTCCATGGTGGGATCTACCACAAGCAGCTGAGTAGCTGCCTTTGGGATATGTCTGCTTCCTGTATTTAAGGAGAAACCTTAAATAGGCATGGTCTCTAGCCTTTGGCACGCTTGGACCCGGCATGTAGCCGTGTCGTTGCTCAGCAGCCTGCCATGCTCTGCCGACCTTGGGACTTACAGTGGACTTAAGTTAATGGCCTGCCGTGTGGATTGGTAACATCAGGACTGTGCCTTTTTACTTGTCAACCTTGGGGCTTCTCAGCCTCAGCAGCCAGCAGCTGAGTGAAGAAATGCCTCTAGCTCCAGTGGGCCGGGAGCAGGAGGTAGAGCTGGACCCCAGGGTTGAGGGGCTTTCATCCAGCCCCTAAAGCTTGGAACTTTGAACTTGGACTTAAAGCCTCCAAATTGTAAGAATAAACCCCGGTTTGTTAAGGCCATCTCATCTGTGGTATATTTTCTGTCAGAGCAGCACTAGGTAACCAGAACAGTGGGGATGTTGAGTCAGCAAACGTTTGCTACATATATATTCACCACAATTAAAGGAAAAGAAATAGGAATATGGCTGGCCTATGTCCACCAACCCTTGGGATTCCCAGAGTTCAGGAGTATCTTTGTTATTCACAGTGGGTTCCCCCATGGTTTATGCTGGCGAATGACTCAGGATGGGGCTGGCCAAGCCAGAAGGATGCAGCTTGTGATTAGAGGATGGGAACTTTGAGCCACGTGATGTCAGCCCAGATCCAGGAAGGGGATGGGCTGAAGACTGAACCTAATCATGTGGCTAGTTATTCAACCACTCACATCTACGCAATGAAGCCCAAGTTAAAAACTCCGGGCACCAAAGCTCAGGTGAGCTTCCCCGGTTGCCAATATTCTGTGTGTTGTCACATATCAATGTGCCAAGAGGGTGATATGTCCTGACTCCATGGGAGGGGACGGGAAAACACCATGTTTGGGACGCTCCCAGACCTCACCTCCTGCGTCTCTCCCTGTGGCAAGTTCTGATGTACAGAGTTCTGTGCGATAACACTTATTAGTAAGTCGAGTGCTTTCCTGAGTTCTGGGAGCTCTAGCGAATCATCCAACCTGAGGGAGTAGTGGGACACCCCCCACAAATTTGAAGCCAACTAATCAAAGGTGAAGGTGCTCAGGGGACCCTGAGCCCATGCTGGTGTCTGAAGACAGGGTGTCTTGTGGAGGGCTGTGCCCTTAACCTGGGAATTTGGCCCACCTCCAGGTAGTTGGTGTCACAACTCACTGTATGCCTCATCCTGGGGTTTTCACAGGAGCTATGAAAGGAACGCTCACCCACAGTCACAATATGGCTGAGGGTTCTTAGTTCCCGAGGATCTTTGTGACCCTGTGCCACAGAAAGGCATCCAGGGCATCCCTCCAGCCAATTAGCTGGCTCCTCTATCCCTGCTGTCCCCACCTCCTGCCCATCTCCTACCTCACTCGCACATGCTCTGCCCCCAGGATCTCTGGTGCCTGCCTATACTCACGCGGAGGTGATGGCGCGGTAGCGTTCCTGGCCTGCCGTGTCCCAGATCTGCGCCTTGATGGTCTTGCCGTCCACCTGGATGCTGCGGGTGGCAAACTCCACGCCGATAGTGCTCTTGCTCTCCAGGTTGAACTCGTTACGGGTGAAACGTGACAGTAGGTTGCTCTTTCCCACACCTGAGTCCCCAATGAGCACCACTGTGCGAGAGGGTGGGGGGAGACACATATGTGAGTTGGAGTGGGATGCCCACGCCATTTCCCTGCTCCACCTTTCATGCCCACGCATGGCTGCCTGGGCACTGAGCCAAGCCATCACTTCAACATAGTGGAGGGGCCGGAGCTTTCCTAGAGCCCCTTGCCCACAGGAACCAGGTTTCCTGTTTCAGAAGCAAATGGAGGCTCAGGTCTTCCAGAAACACAGCATCTGCCATAGCAGAACACCCCTGTCTGTTCCTGACCCTTCGTGGATCTCCCCCTGCAGTCTGGTGACCCAGGCATCTTGGCAGAGTACCAGAGAGCTCTGGAGCTACACAGCCTCGGAGAAGTTCCTTAACCTCTCTGGGCCACAAGTGTGGGAATGGAAACATTAAGAGGACCCATCAAAGGGAGGAGGAAATGGCAGTATGAGTACAGAGCTCAGAACCAACTCCAGCAGGCAGGAAGTAATTCAGTGTTTTGGTGTTAGAGATTGAATTGTGTCCCCCTGAAATCTGCACTGAAATTCTGACCCTGGTACCTGTCAGTGGGATCCTGTTTGGAAGTCAGGTCTTCTTTTGTTATGTTCATAAGGTCATACAGTGTAGGGTGGGTCCTAAACCCAATCACTTTTGTGTTATAAAGAGAGTAGAACAGACACAGAGACATGCAGAGGGGAGAGAGACACTTGTCTACAAGTCAAAGGAACATGAAGGAACCAAGGGACACTGAAGATTACCAATAGACATAGAAACTAGGACAGAGGCTCAGAGAAGGAATCAACACTTCCAAGACCCTGACTGGACTTTTATATCCAGATCTATGAGACAATAAATGTCTGTTTTTTAGTCATTCATTTGTGCTGTTCCTGTTACAGTAACTCTAGGAAATTAAGACAGATGGGAAGGGTCAACGTTCCACCAGATTCTTTCCTATATGGGTCTGTCTCTGGAGTTTTACATGGCAGGAAATGAGAAGTCTCCCCCACCCCCTCAGCTTCCTCACAGACCAAGCCCATGGGGAAAACCACACTCAGGAAGAACTAAATGGTACCCAGCTACCACTACTGAATGTTTTAATCAAAGATGCTATAGACAAAAGGGGGGAAATGTGGAACCGATTTACAAATTCTCAAGGAATCCAGACTTTCTGGAGCAATTGAGGCTGGATAAAACCTGGCAACTACTGCCCTGAGATCATCTTTAAACCTTAACCCAAAAATATTCCCTGAAGTCTTCTTTAAACCAAGTAACAGTTTAGTTTTAATAGTAAAAAATGCCTGCTATGAGCATTATGCTCTTTTACAGAACTATCTGTATGGGATTAAACTGATAATAGCAACTTGACGTATTAGAAAAGAAGCTGAGAGGGAAGTCAGTTATCTCAATAGAGAAGAAACAAATCGGAAAGGATAACAAGAATGCTGTACAATTTGAAGAATGCAACCAATGTCACTGGTTGTGGACGTGTTGTTGTCAGGTGCCGTGCAATTTCAATTCATGGCGACCCTGTGTACAACAGAAAGAAACTACCCAGTCCTGCACCATCCTCATAACCGCTGCCATGCTTAATCCCACTGTGGCAGCCACTGTGTCCATCTGTCTCATTAAAGGGACTCCCCTTTTTTGCTGACCCTCTACTTTAGCAAGCAGGATGTCCTTCCCCAGGGACTGGTCATTTCTGGCTGTACTTCCTCCAAGACAGATTTGTTAATTTTTCTAGCAGTCCATGGTACTTCAGCATTCTTTGCCAACACCACAACTCAACAGCATCAACTCTTCTTTGGTCTTCCTTACTCACTGCCCAGCTTTCACATGCATATGAGGCGACTGAAAATACCATGGCTTGGGTTAGGTGCACCTTAGTCTTCAAAGTGCCATCTTTGCTCTTAAACACTTTAAAGAAATCTCTTGCAGCAGATTTGTCTAATGCAATACATCAACTGATCTCTTGAATGCTGCTTCCACGGGCATTGTGGTAGTTAAGGCTGTAAGTCAATTTGGCTGGGCCCCGAGTTTGAACGGCATGGCAGCTGCACGTAGTTATTCACCATGATGTGACTGGATGTGGTGGAATCAACTCCATGGTGGAACCTGCTGTGAGACCTTAATCATGGCCTGCTTCCGTACGTACAGAGAAATCTGGGGACAGGTCTCCAGCTTTTTGGCACATTTGGCTCTTGCATTTGGCTGAGTCTTCATCTCCAGTTCCTGGACTTGAACCAGTGGCCTGCCATGTTGCCTGCCAATCTTGGGATTGTGCCATTTTACCTGCCAATCTTGAGTTTGTCAGCCTCAGCAGCCAGTAGTTGTGTGAGTCAGAAGAAGCCTCTAGCTCCAGTGGGCCTGGAGTAAGACGTAGAGCTGAAGCCCAAGGTCAAGGGGCCTTCACCCAGCCCCTAGAGCTAGCACTCTGAATTTGGACTTCTAGCCTCCTAAACTGTTCAGAGAATAAATGTCTGTTTGTTATAGCCATCTACAGGTAGTATTTGTTATAGCAGCACTAGAGAACTAAGATTGACATTGATTATGGATCCAAGTAAAATGAAATCCTTGACAACTTCAATCTTTTCTCCATTTATCATGATGTTGCTTCTTGGTCCAGTTGTGAGGACTTTTGTTTTCTTTATGTTCAGATGTAACCCATAATGAAGGCTGTAGTCTTTGAACTTCATTGTGCACATACAAGTTGTTAATTTGGGGTATGTTTTGCTCTGTATATTTTCAACAACGATGAAAAAAAGAAAAAAAAAGCTCTAGCACAGGCTGCTCCCTAGGAGCAAAAATGTGGCCTCTGGACACAGCAGGAAGGGGCAGAGCCAGCCACCCCTCCCACTGCCTATCCCCAGGTTCTGGCTGACCTGCAGTGTGAGTCTAGCCAGATATCCTAGTGCAGAGGCAGGTGTGCGTGGTGGTATACGTCCACACACGATTCACATGTGTGAATCACACGATTCACACGTGTGCATCTGCTCCCCCTCCCTGCCTGAGAGCAGGGAGCCAGGGCAACAAGGCTGGGAGGAAGATAAGAGATTATGGGCAGAATCCTCCTGGGGCCCAGCACCAGACGCCAGGCACACGGTGGGCAGCAGCAGAGAGGGAGGCTCCCAGATGAGGGGCAGGAACTAGACCCTCAGCCTCCAGGCCACTTGGGCCTCTGGGGAAGGCACACTGCAGGGCCTGGGGTTCTGAGAACATTTTGAAAAGCCATGTGGCAAAATGCTAAGAGAAGGCCGACAGCTTCCCAGTTACATAAGCAGCTCAGGGCATTCGTGGCTTATCCATAGCAGACAGTGACCAGCTGATTTTTCAGAAGCCGATCACCATGCCTTTCTTCCAAAGCACCTCTGGATGGACTTAAACCGCCAATCTTCTGGTTAGGAGGGGAGCATCACAACTGTTTTCACCATCACAGCCTATTCTCCTTCCAGCCACCAGAGGGCACCTATGAGCAGCTAAGCCAGGGCTGCCCTCTGCCCACAGCCCTCCATGGCTCCCACCTCCCTCAGGTAAAAACCAAGTCCTCTGGGTGCCACCCATAAAGCCTTGCATGACTGGTCCATCCCCTCTGCTCTTTCCTCCTCTCTCCCCCTCGTTCACTCTGCTCTAGCCACACGGGACTCTTGGTTCAGGCTGGCAGAACCCAGATTCAATCACGGTTCTGAGCTTCAGCTCTTTCCCTCCTAACTCACCGCCTGGGGCTCACATAGCTCAGGGGTCTTGGTCCAAATCCCTGGTGGGGCCCTGAGACCCCAACCCTCCAACAGCACGGCTCCCACTGCTGGCAGAGTCCTGTCCCCTCGGGGCGGGAACAAACTTCTGCTCGTCCATCTGACCCTGGTTCAGGCCTCTCTCCCTCAGACACCGTCTGGCCCGTCCCAGGCGTCCCCTCCTCCCACCGCAGGTGCCCAACACAAGTTGGCCCTGTTGACTTGAAAGAAACAGAGAAAGGTGGGAAGCAGTGGGTCTGCCTGGGCCTCAGCCCAGTGCTAAGGACTCCCATCTGTACTGGTGGGCCACAATCACTCTGGGATCACCTGGGCCAGGCCGTGCTGTGGCCATGCCACTGTCCCCACCGCAACCCTTCACCTCTTTCCCACGGCACCCCGGGAACCTGGCCAAAGCAGGGAGGTTTGCTCCCGTTTCTCACGTCCTCAGGAAGGCAGGGAATTGAGGGGCCCCTTGGGCTCTGCCCTGTAGCCCGTGGACAGCCCAGCCTCCTGCCCAGTCCTGCCCCAGCTGCACAGTCTTGGAGCCGCCTCACTGCCATCAAGTCGATTCAACTCACAGCAACCCCTCCTTGGGTTTCCGAGGTGGTATCACTACAGAAGTAGATCGCCCAACCTTCCTTTCCAGGAGTGGCTGGTGGGTTTGAACCGCCAGCCTTCTGGTTAGCAGTCAGCCTACCCGGGCCTAACTGTCTGGAGGCTTCAGCTTCCCAGGTTCACCCTGGGAACAATGTTTGTGTCATGACCCCCCAGTGCACAGTTGGGGACACTCAGCCCAGAGGGACCAAATCCCTGTCCCAGGGTCACCCAGAGAGAAGAGCAGAGGCTGAAGCAGGACAAGACCAACAGGCAATGGTAGGAACAGGGACTGGTGGGAAGCCCTGGCCGCCTGCACCCTGGCACATGCCGCCTGTGGCTAAAAAGGGTGGCTGGCAGGGTCACAAGCAGGTCACCAGTAATAAACTCAGCATTGTTGATGGCACAAACAACGTGCTGTGCTGTCCTGGGGAATAAAAGGGCCTTGAGAACACAATTCCTGGAGTTTCTACAGAAGTTGATGGCACCACCAGCTGGGAACTAAGCCCTTGGGACATACCGTTTGGCTGTCAGAGTGGGCAAGCCCTGCTGGCAAAAATAAGGAACTGCTGCCTTGGGAGCCCTGGGGCTCTGGTCTGGCCCCGGGGATGCAGAACCCACACTGAAGGGGGGACAGGGGGATGGCCATGTGGGCAGGCTGGGCCCAGGCCCTCCTCCAAGAAGCTGGGCCCGCCCACCGCAGGCCCCCAGACTGGCACTCAGGGTATTCTGTCCACAGCGATTCCCTGGGAGTTAGAGCACACAGGAGAGGTGCCCAAAGGCCAGGGCCAGGCAGGGCCCCATTCACAATGCGGGAAGATGCTGTGCTTGGGTACCAGCCCAGCCTGGTGGGGCCAGTCCAGGCTGGAGGGCCCAAGGGGGCTCAGATGCACTGTGCAGAGAACGGGAGCCCACCAGCCTGGTCCCCTGGGAATTGGCTACCATTCCAGCCTCGTGTCCTTTCCACTCCAAAAACAGCCAGGTGCCCCCGATTTGAGCATTCCATGTATGTCAGAGCAGAACTGGGCTCTACAGGGTTTCCAGGGGCTAATCTCTCAGATCACCAGACTTTCCTTCCGAGGCACCCATGGGGTGGACTCAAGCCACCAGCTTTTCAGTTAGTAGCTGACTATGTTAACCATTTGCACCCCAGGGACTCCCCTTTCCCAAAAGGAGCCCTAAATGGGGAAGAGGTGGACACAACTGAGGATAGGGCCTTGGGTAAGCATCGCCAGCTTCTCACATGGCCCACGTCCTCCCAGGCCAGGTGAACCAGTGACTGCTCCCTCACTGCCCAGAGGCACCGATTCAGGGCCAGTGGAAGGGGTGCTCTGGGAAGGTCCTGGTTGCCCCTGGAGACAAAGCTGCTCCTACCGTGAACCCCACAGCCCAGGCTATCAGAGGAAAGGTCAGGGGCGTCCCCAGGGATCGATCCGCAGGCTGGGAAACTGGCCAGAGCTGACAGGCTAAAACTTAAGAGGATAAATGTGAAGATCTATAATTAGGTACAAACAAACAACCTCCCTCCTGAGGGAGGGAACACCAGAGAGGAAAACAACAGCACATGGGGGACACTGCCTTCCCCCCGCCTGCTGAGGCAAGGGGCACGAAGACTATGTGATGTGGCCACCAAAACAAAACAAAAAAACAGGCAGCGAACAGGACTGCTGGGGCTGCCAGTGTCCCAAGCCAAGGGTTGTGGCCCCTCCATGCCAGGGGACGTGGACTGGATGAGCGGGGCGGAGCATGGGGCTTGCCTGGCACAGGTGGGCCAGGAGGACCTCTATCCCCCTCCATCCTGAAGGCTCCCTGAAGGCAGTGGTGGAGCTGGAAGGAGGCCAGAGGCTCAGTGGGAGCAGGTCCTGTGGCGCGCCACCCTCCTGACCCTAAGGCTTGGGTGGTAGGTCTTGGCCACCTCCCCAGTGCCTGCCATTGCCCCATGCGGGGTTTCATTCCTGCCTACCCACCATGTGGATGACAAGTGCCACTGGTGGCTTCTCTTCTCCCATCTCACTTTGTTGATTTGGGTCATATGCTGTAGTTATCTGTCATCGAGTTGGTTCCAACTCATGGTGACCCCATGTGGGATGCCGGGTGATACAAACGGTTAAGCTAGCTGAAAGGTTGGCAGTTCAATCCACTCAGAGGTGCCTTGAAAAAAAGGCCTGGAAATCTGCTTCCACAAGGTCACAGCCTTGAAAATTCTACAAAGCAGTTCACACTGGCTACATGAGACCACTGTGAGTTGGAATCGACTCAACTACAACTAACAAGAGGCTACTAACTGGAAGGGGGGCGGTTCACCCAGAGGTGCCTCGGACAACAGGCCTGGCGGTCTGCTTCTAAAAAGTCACAGCCCTGAAAACCCCGTGGACACTTCCACTCTGCACACACAGGGTAGCTGTGAGCCAGTCACAGAGTTTCCTTTTCCAAAAAATTTACCTGAGTTACAAACTGAGGGGATATAAAGAAACATACTCAGTGACAATAAAGAAGGGCCCTGGGACCCGGGCACATAGTAAGGTGGTGACGGCGACACCCTGGGCAGCCACAGTCTGGGAAACACTGACCTTGTGGGCTGCACCAACCCAGCTTGAGAAGGTCAGCGGGGCACCTGCTCATGAAAGGAGGCCAGTGGGCGAGGGCAGTGGAGCAGGTGGGAGGCACCCCCCACGCACACCTCTGTGCCAGATGCCCCAGAAGCCAGGCTGGTGTTTCCAGGAAGCGAACTCTGGGGACTTGTCCCGGGAACTGCATGGCCTCCACTCAGCCCCTGACCCCAGTAACTGTACTTCTGGGAACACACTTCAAGGAAAACACCCAAAGGGCAAAAAGATGACAACTTTAGCAGACGCTCAGCACTGGGCTATTTATAACAGCAAAAGGTCGAGAATATTCGGAGTGGCGGACACACCATGAGCCACCACGGGAACCTGGAGGGCGAGTGCCCAGTAGGTTGCCTCTGGGTGGGCTGAGTGTGGATGGGACCAGTGTGGCAGGCTGGTCATCCCCAAAGAGCCCTTCCAAGGTGCTCCTTCCAAAAAAAACCAAACCAGACTCACTGCCATCGAGTCGATCCGACTCATAGCGACCCCTTCTTGGGTTTCCAAGGCAGTATCACTACAGAAATAGATTGCCCAACCTTCCTTCCGAGGAGTGGCTGGGGGGTTTGAACCACCAGCCTTCTGGTTAGCAGTCAAGTGCCTTAGGCACTATGTCACCAGAGCTCCCGAGGTACCCTTTAGCTTTAGGGTAAGACCGCAGCATTGAGGCCTCACTGACCAGGAAGCCATGCCTGCCAGCAATGCAACAGCCTACTTGCAGGTCCCCGAGCCCACGGGGCTGTGACGCTGCTGGGTTTTTGCACAGGCACTCTCTCTGCTGGAAGCCTTTCGCTGCATGGATACTCCAGATAGGGAGAGCTGCACTGCACTCTTACCTCTCCCAGTACCAGCCCCAAGACACTGGATGATACTAGACACAACAGGCCACAAGGCCTGCTCCAGACACAGACCCCGACTAGCACAAGGTGCCTCAAGCTGGAGTGAGAGGCACAGCCCCACAAAGCAGGCAGCCAGCTCCCCAGGCAGGCCACTGTCAGCCAGGGAGCCCAGCACAGGCTGTGGAGGACCAAAGCCAAAAGCGCAACAAACAAACAGTACCCCTGGAGTCAGCTCTGACTCATGGCGACCCCACGTATCAGAGCAGAACTGGGCTCTGCAGGATCTTCAAGGCTGTGACCTTCTGGAAGCTCATCTTCCAAGGTACCTCTGAGTGGGTTCAAACCACCAACTTTTAGGTTAGAAGTCAAGCACTTAACCATTTGTGCCACTCAGGGACTCATACAAATCCAGTGACCCCTAAACTGGCCCCGGGGAGAAACCAGGGGGTCCAGTGATGTGGAGGGAGTCACCCCAGCTCCACTGGCAGGGTCAACAAGCCCCCCAGCTAGTTGTGGCCAGCAATGCTGGCTGACCTGCCTAGGCCATACTGGGTGCTCCTAGAGCCCTGACGCTTGGACAGGGAAGGTCCCAGAAGGTTGGCCAATATCCCTGCCATCAGCCTGCATGTGCTAGGAGGTGATCTAACTGCCCCTAGTCCTAGTTCTAAGGGAGTTCTGGTAGCGTAGTGCCTAAGGCACTTGACTGTTAACCAGAAGGCTGGCAGTTCAAACCCACCGGCCACTCCTCGGAAGGAAGGTTGGGCAACCTACTTCCATAGTGATACCACCTCAGAAAACCAAGGAGGGGTCACTATGAGTCGGGTCCGACTCAACAGCACATAACAACAGTTCTAGCTCTGGCCCCGAGACTCTCCAAACACACTCCATCAGTCTGGGCTCAAATCTGCTTCCAATGCATACTAGCTGTCCTTCCTTCTCTGGGTGGCAGAGTCCCGGTCTGTGAAAAGAGAGACTGAATGGTAAGGACCGCAGTGGGTTGTAGGGAGGATGTAAATAGGTTTATGT